TTAAGCTTCCAATTTTAGTTTTAAAACTGCGTGTTATACGCCGATAAATACGGTATATATAAAGGACACATATACATCAGTTTTTCTCTTGGAACTCAGGATAATATATAGAGAGAGATTTTGCCTAATTTTATCCTCAGAACAATACCCCTATAAGGTAGAGTTTGCTGAAAGAGAAAGATTGATTTAAAATCATTCAGTAAAATGGGAGCATGAACTTGGGTTTTCCCAATCCTTGTCCAGCACTTGAAACACGACACTACACTGGCTGTTTGTACAGTGCCTCTCTGATTTCCTAGCCCATCTCAAGCTCATTCTGAGCATTTTGGCCAAGGAGATTATAGTATGTTATTGTTCCGCAAACTAAGATATTTTGAGAGGTCTGATAAAATCATCCAGTTCTGTGGAGAATTCTGTTTCTTGTTTCTATCCAGACTATATGCGTTACTGACTTACCATGCCAACAAATTTTCTTTGTTTTCCTTTCATCTATTTTCTCCTTTAAAACCAACTCATTTATTTTGACTCTAACTTCTGGCATTTGCTCAGAAAGAGCTGTATATAGTATCTCTTTCCCTGTGTGTGCTTTTCCCCCTGTTTATTTATTTTTTTTAGTTTTGTTACTGCCCAACTTCAGATTTACTCTGGGTGGCTTTTTTTGATAACTCATGTTTTATACTTATTTTCTACTCTTTCTCCCTTTTGAATGTGCCACAGTAGCTTTTATCTTTATTAGATAGAGATGATTCTTCTTTGAACCAGATGCTCCCTAATTTCGGCCATGCTTTTCTGAGTTTGCAAGACATGATATTCTGCCACAGTTTAATTTTAGTGCCAGCATTCTGGTCTATTTTGTGAAGTCCAGATTTGTTAAGAAATGTTTTGTATTGCTTAATAAATCTAACCTTTTTGTCTTTAGCATCCCTTTTCAGTCCACCTCAGTCAGCCATACTATCTTGTACACAAAACATAACTTTTCAAAAAACAATATTTTTTGTCTTTCAAACTTCGCAGCAACTTAAATTAGATTTTTGTTCAGTTATGACAACATTGCTTTGGCTTTCAGCTCTGGTTATGTTGACCAACAGTTGTGAGTAGTTTGGGACTATAGTATGTCCTGCTTGCCAAACAAATTAATGCCAACAGTATTGGATTCAAGATCTCAAAAACAAAGATAGATTTAACATGCAGGGGAGTTCCAATCTTAGGGCAGTTGAAGAAAAAGGCTACATCTCTGAAGCCAGATTCAGTGCACAAAATACTCACTGTGGAAATGAATCATCTCCACGTCTTTTGTCAACCTGTAGTTTCAAGGATTTCTCTGAAGGTTAGAACATGATGTTCCCTTCTATAGCATCTTAGTTCTCCAGAATTTCTGAGACATTATTCTAGTTCTGAGATCATATCAACAAGTTTGCCAATTCTTTAGAATGACAATACTTTGACACTGAAGTTTTCAGTTCCTTTATGATAGTTAGAAATTTCCTGACCGGCTTCTCAGGTTTCAATCCTCAGTCACCCCCAAGGTTATCATGAGAATGTATGCATTTAACTTTGGAGATGACAAGGACAGAATAGGAGGTCACCCATTCTTCCTTCAACCTGTTGTGTTTTAAAATGTCATCATTATTTCTTACATTCTTGCTTCAAACTTACCTGAAAAATTTATTTTAGTTTCAATACTCAGTTTATTCTAAATCCTAGCTTTCCTATCTTATCCTATCCTATCCTGTATCTCTCTGTCTATTCTGTCTTCCATGTTCTGGTGGTTTCTTGTTTTCTGATCCTCATTAAACTTTTCATTTGTGTCTTTTTTATTGCTAACTAGAATTGTTTATTATTGTGTATCTAATTAATCCTCCTTTTCAAAAAATATTCTTCTTCCAAATCTTAGGCTTCTTTTATAAGAAAAATCTCATTCAGATCATTCTCAGTTCCTCATAACCGTGAACGAAATCATCAATATGTGCTTTTTTTATTACAATATTGAAGTAATTCGCTATTATTTCTTCCAAAATATTTTTTAGAACTTCCCAGTCTAGTCTACAGCTCTGATAATTGCTGGAATTCTTCCATTCTGGTTCCAACTAAACCAAACTCTGCTTATGTCCCAAGCTCAGAGAAGGTCAGTCTGGTAATGCCACTTGTCGAGACAGGCTTCTTTTAGATGTTAGTATCTCTACATTGAATTAAACTGAAGCATTTAATTTTGCATTTAACTGAAAAGGCTCTGGGACAAATTAACAAAAATTAACAAGACTGCCCTTTGTCCTCAGGCTTGTGAACTAATACAATATGGCACAAATTGAAAATGAATTGGGCAAGGGGAGAAAAATGGTTCTCAGAAGTATTCTTTCCCACAGGAAAACATGAAGCGAAATCCTTGAAGATGTGGAACCACTTTGGTCTTTCCTTGGTATATTGTTCTCGGAGTACAAAAGATGCAGTGACACAGTAGCCCTTGATCTAGTAGCATAAGCTGAAGTCTCAGGGTAATCTCTTTGAACTGGATGGTTTTTTTTTCCTAGAAAACAGAGATAAATCAAGCCACTGTTCTTCTCTGGTTGGTAGAATCCAACCTAGCAATTCTCTAAGATTGTTAATATCTAAAGAACACCCTTGACTACACTCATATTTAGATTTTTCATAAAATCATGGATTCCAGTGGTTTCAGATATTATTACAATTTGTGTTTGATTTCATCTGAAAGCTGAACACTTTTTAAAAAATCTGCAAATAGATATTACACAGTGAAAACAGTTTCTTCACATAAAAAGGTTTATTTTCTGTTTGCGAAAGGTAGAGCTACTAAACAGGTTTTGTTTCTAACCCAGAGCTATAAAGCAAAGTCTAAGGCACCTTTTAGATTAGAAAACCCAAAGCCTCCTTACTTTGTGGTTTTTTTCTTTCATTTTTTTTTTCTTGACCAGGCTTTGAAGTTTCTTGGGATTCAGCCTACAAAAGAAGAGCAAGAAATCCTAAGGCAACAGCTACCAAGAGATTCTGAAGGAACAGTCTGTTTTGGAGGTAATTAAATGAAGGTTTTTTTTCGGAAACTATAAGAGAGATTTCAGAATTCTACATACAATTATTCTTAACAGAAGTCACTAAATGTGCTTCAGGGTTGATTTGATATTTTTGTCAAGTTCTCCATGAAGCCCCTATGTGTAAGGTGAATAATGTGACTATTTGCATTCCCATTTTAAAGGTATTTGTTACCCAGCACTTTCTTACTTACAAATTAAAACACTTATTAGACAGCCTTATTCCAGTATACTTAAGAAAAAGTGTGCAGAGCAAATGTGCAGAACAAATTATAAAGAGCAGGAGAGTTAGTGAGTCAAATTTGCAGTTGAGGAATAAAGTTGGTTAAGAAGATCTTACTGTCCTGGTATGTTTGTTGTGAGCTTTCCATAGATATATGGGTAATCATTAAGGAAACAGAATTTAGACAGACCTGATGCAGACGTTATATTTTAGGATAATGAATGAAAATTTAAGGCCTGGTCCTAGGTTTTTCAGAGTGGTTTCTTCACAAATGCATCCAGGATTCTTCAGAGTGGTTTCTTCATAGCACATTTTCCTCATTTTCCTTGTTCTGCTCTTCTCCACCATGAAGCAGGAATTGAGTTCTTCTCAGAGCTTATCTTTTTTCTTTCTTTCATTGAGTAATGCAGTGTTTTACCTCCAAAACACAATGCAAATTGAATTTTAATTAAATATTAAGCAATTAATCAGGATTATGAGACTTGCATTCTTAGCCATGGGACCATCCCATCTTCAGAGGTAAGGATATAGAATTCTGTTCCCGTTGGTGGTTAAATATCTGCAAGCTATAATAACACAAGAGCAAATTATAGAAGAGCTTCTCAACACACAAGAGTCCATGGAAACTATTTGTCTTTGAATCATTCTAATAGTCATTTTCCCTCAGATTAACACAGTTGCACAATAAGCATAGCTGCATATGTATGCACACACATTCATTTAGCTTTGCATCTATACTTCCTCTGAAGGATTTGCTTCAATTATCAGATCCGTTAGAACCGACTATCAATTAGTTACCTCTTTAATGAAAACTGTAATTTATCCTTACATTTGATCTACATGACAGCAATGGTGTGATGTTTGCTTTTCAAATATGAAAAACAAACCAAGGTTTGTTTGGAAGACAATTGCAAGACCATAGCTTTCCATTTTTATTTCATGCTACTTTACTTAAATGAGGCTGAATGCATGACGGGGAGAAGGAGGAAGTCCAGGCTTTAGCGCTTGCTCTCTTTTGTACCTTCAAGTCAATCCTGAGTGTTGGTTACCATACAGAAAAGTCTTTACAGTTTTCTTGGCAAGGTTTTAGTTTGGAGCTTAAACTGACATTCTGAAATACTAAATAACTAACAGATACTAGATTGTTTAATGAAAAATATAAGTTGATTTTTCTGTGATTGACACTATAGTGTTGTTCTGACTTAAATTATATGTTAGATTTTATTCAGGTGGCAAGAGATTTATTTTCTCAGCAGCTGGATGAGACTGGTCACAGCCCTGTACATGAAATTGCTAAATTACTAGATTCACAGGTAAATAATATAATTCTTATCTCCAAACAAAAGTGGTGAAGTTTTGATTTAAAATTCCTTGAAGATTCAAATCTTCTAGCTCACTGTGGTCTTTCAAAAGGATGACTAGAAAGGATATTAAGGAGCTCTCATAACAAATTACTTTCAATGCTATTATACAATCATGGTTTTCCACACATTGTAACTAACCATTGTACACAATGTACATTTGTTTAAAATAGTCTTCCCAACTATGTTGAGTGCAGAGAAGAGCAACAAAGATGATTAGGGGATTGGAGGCTAAAACATATGAAGAACGGTTGCAGGAATTGGGTATGTCTAGTCTAATGAAAAGAAGGACTAGGAGAGACATGAAGCAGTGTTCCAATATCTCAGGGGTTGCCACAAAGAAGAGGGAGTCAAGCTATTCTCCAAAGCACCTGAGGGTAGGACAAGCAGCAATGAGTGGAAACTAATTAAGGAGAGAAGCAACTTAGAACTGAGGAGAAATTTCCTGACAGTTAGAACAATCAACCAATGGAACAACTTGCCTCCAGAAGTTGTGAATGCTCCAATACTGGAAATTTTAAAGATGTTTTTAAGAAGATTTGTCTGAAATGGTATAGGGTTTCCTGTCTAGGATGGACTAGAAGACCCCCAAGGTCCTTTCCAACTCTGTTATTCTATTCAACTTCACTTGAGGGCAGTAGGTGGAGAAAGCTTATATCAAATAATTGTGGATGACAAATTAGGCACTAATAGCAGAGGGTTCTGCTGCCCTGGAGTTACAGCATCTTCTAAGTGGCTGACTGCCCACAGGCAAATTAAAAACTTTTTCTTTAAAGGTTCCAGCAATTATTGAAAGCTGACCATTGGATTATAATCTTCACTGGCTTTTCTACTGCTGCCTTTCATGAGTTATTTGTCTTGTTGCCATTTTAATTATAGTTTGTGAGAGTTTAACTAGACCAGTTGTGTGCATATTTATTTATCAGTAGTAAATAAATCAAGCTTGCTTTCACAAATGTAAAAAGCATTGCAAGTTAAACTACCACAGGTAGTCCTCACCGTATGATCACAATGGAGCCCAGAATTTCTGTTATACGTTGTTGCAGAGTAAGTTGAGGCACTATGAGACTGGACCTTATTTTACAGCCATTTTTATGACAATCGTAAAACCAGAAAATGGCAAAAAAGTCACAAATCTCAGTCATGCAAAATGCTGGTAACCAGTAATAAATGTGAGTCATTTGCCAAGCGTATTTATAGTTTTCTAACTTTACAGTATATAACAGAAAGGAGGATTTGTTTGGTAGGCTGAATTAAAAAGCTTAAAGTATTATGTTAAATAACAGACGTTGTTATTTTTCTGTTATTTGTATCCATGTATTCCCTCAACGTCTGCTTCTGATTTATTTATTTTACTGCATACAGCTTGTATCTTGTGATCATTTGGAAAGACATGAAATGGAACAACTTAGGAAAGAGAAAAATGAAGCTTTGAAAGAACTATGTCAACTGAAGGTGACATTTTGCTTTAATCAATTTAAACATCCACACTAACCTTTGCTTATTTTAAACCTATTGAGTACTTACCACTTAGTAAAAAGGTGAGCTAAGTGTAGAATGATTAAATAAAATTAGTATTATTTGCTTTCTTTATACCATAATGTTAAAGCTTCCTGGCTCTGATACAGTTTAATTCTGTTCTTGCTAGTGTCTCAGTGTCATTTTCAACAGGGAGAAGAAAATATGCAGCATTGATTTGTTCTTCTATAAAGTGCCATAATATATCCATGTAACACCTGCTCCATGAGCTGTATTGGTTGCCAATTAGCTTCTGAGTACAATTCAAGGGCTGCTTACAATTTATAATCCTTTGTGACCTAGGGCATGGCTATCTGTAGAACTGCCTGGCCCTGATATTTCCTACCCATCCTGTATGATGGGTGGGCATGCCCCAGGTTCCATCAATCATACAGTGTCATCCGATGACACAAGGAAATGGGATTTTTCTCTTATGGTGCCTTCATCCTTTCAGATACTCATATGGATCCAATGCCACCTATCATTAAAAAAAATCACTGAAAATCTGTTTATACACACACACACACACACACACACACACACACACGTGTGTGTGTGTGTGTGGTTTTTGGTTTTTTTTTTGTGCTGATAAATAAATAAAGTTTTTTTTTTTTTTTATCAGCACAAATTAAAAAAAAACACAAATATAACAAAGGCAACAGTAAAAATATTGGGTTTCTGTCGTGATGGACTCTTGTGACGAGCCGATAGACAGATGATGGAAGCAGTTAGCTTCCTCCCATAATTGGGGCTTACCAGGGGTTGTAAAAAATCTTATATATATATAAACAACAAAGAATGTCTTGCAAAAATAACATTAAATAGTATGTGTGATACATACATACATTATTTATATATAATGTATGTATGTATCACACTATTTAATGTTATTTTTGCAAGACATTCTTTGTTGTTTTGATTTTTTTATGTTGCACACTGCTTGAGTCATGTGGATTTGGACAACCTTCTTAAATAAATGAGTCCTGTCCCAGCTATTGTTCAACGGTAATTATTTCTGGTTGCTTTTTAATATATGCTAATATTTTTAATCCATTCCATTCCCACTGATCCATTATATTTTTGATATATTGCCCTCAAACCTTAGGGGGTGGGGGGAGGGAGCATGGAAGTTGAATGAAAACACAATTTACTTTAAGTGATTTGCACGTTAAACATAATCCTTGGAGACTACTTGGGAACATCTATGCAGGTTTTTTAGCAACAATATGGGTGTGTTTTGCTATTACCTTCTGTAATATTTTTTCGAGTTCCCAATCTAGTCTGTAGGAATTCCCTGGCAGCTTCTCTTCTACCACCAGACCCAACTTGGCTTAGCTTCGCAGCTCAGACAAGATCAGCCAAGTGCAACTACATACTGAGGAAGTTCATTTGGGAAACCTTTTGTTTTATTGTATTGTGTGAGTTGGCTTGTTTAACTGATATTGCAACAACTTCCATTGTTGCTGCTGTTGTTAAGAGCTCTGAACTTCCTAAATGATGGCCTGCTCAGTAGACTGACTCAAGATAGCTTGCGACATAGACATCCTCATTTAACTTTTATTCAGAAACAAAACAAAAACAAAAAACAAAAAAAAAATGAATCACATAAAGCTGTGCTTCTTAACAAATCCTGCTACAACATACAGTGTTGCTAGGTTCTGTGCAGCAACACAATTCACCAGATGGTGACCTGTGCTATAAACTAGATTTAATGAACAACTAATTCACCATATTAGAATGCCTTGTAACTTGATAGATGTACTATATGCCAACCTTTTATGCTCCCCTGCACTCATCTAATGCTGCTACCTTTCTTTTAAGTTTCACACTTTTTAGAATACTTTTAGTTTTTCATTCAGCTATCTATTATATCTTATAGCTTTTCATTATCTTTTTTATTTTTTTACTCCTGATGTTTTTAATGCTTTTTTCATGCTTTATGGTTTTTTAATGACTGTATCCCACCTTTCCTATGCTGGCCTATGACCATAATGAAGCTTTGATTGATGCTTCTTAATAGGAAGCATAGATTGCTAATCTTAAACATGTGCTGGGCTTTAAAGCTTTTTAAAAGTGAAAACACTTCCTGTGTGATTGCCTGCACTAAGAGTTAATTTGTTAAGTAATTAAGAAAATTGTTTGATTATGTCTTTGGATACGTCCCCAGGAGAAAATTCTCTGTGGACTTCCAAATATGTCTTCAATGCTGGCAACATGTAATTGCTACTGCTACCTATTCCAGTGACGTATTGTTGGACCATGTGCATGCTTTAATTTGTAACTGCACCGCTTTAATTTTTAAAAAATATTTTTAACTATGGGCCTCACTGAACCTATTTATGTAAAACTTTGATTAAGTGTAATGAAGAGGGATTGTTTAACCAACTGAATTAATTGTGATGAAAATAAATAGAAGTCAGAAAGCACAGAATCTCAGATGGGGAGGTCCCCTGAGATTGTTTCTGTAAAGACTGGAAGTTGAGAGTTTTTTCATCAGGGGTTTTTAGATCAGACTTTCCCAGTGTGGACAACAACTCTCATCAATAGTTGGCTGTACATGATAGGAATTACTTCAACATTTCTGCAAAGCATACGTTTGGAGATGCCCAACCTTATAATTATTTTCACAAATGCTTTGAGGTCCCACGTAGATAAACAAAGCTTGTTTAAGAGTATACTCAAACATACCCAGAAAAAGTGCAAGAGGCACCATGCTGGGGAAAAGACTAGAGGAATTAACAATGGGCATTCTCACAGGCTGTCTTCTAGTGTGGGGGCTGTTTTGTGACTTGTTCTGCTAACTGTGATAGATAGCCTACAAGAGCACCCATAGCATAGTCAAAATGGTCTTAAAAGGGACCTGTGGGTATCTTTGGCACCCTCAGAGCTTGGTAGCTTTCTTGCAACCAAGAAAGCAACCAAGTCACTAGCACTGATGAGGTTATCTAGTTTGACTGGCATTGATGGTTGTTGCCTAGTTTGGGTGATGGAAACACCTGCAAGAAAACAACCAAGCTCAGAGAGCACCCTGGAGCCCTCATTTCAAATCTGAGCCACAAATGTTCTCCTTCAAAGGCTGCATGGATAGGAGATCACCTGCTTAAACCAGCATGCTGAACTAGTTTGGGACAGAGGAAGAATATGCAACTGTGAACACACAGCCCTAAAGTCCATTTCCCAATAAGAAGAAATGCAGTCACCTCGGTTCATTTGTTTCAGAAGGGAATCGTGTAGGAATCGGGAGTATATGAATTGCACTTGCAGTTCCCCAGTTTTTAAAGCAAATTATTCCATGAAAATTTTAAGTGTTTTATTTCCTTTGAGGAGAGCCCGATTCCCCATTTACTTGCACCACGATTGATGTTTCCATCATAAAAATGGCAATCCAATTAGAAGTTTCCTCTTTCCAACTAAAGTTTGACCTATTATAGTCTTCCTTTAACAATATTGTGGGGAACATTGTTCCTTTTTCCTCTTTTGCCAGCCTTTTTATATCATTTTTTAACCCACCATTTTAAGACATAAGCATTTTTCTCTCAACTACATATATATTACATTGTCATGCTTTTCCCACAAGGTCTCATTCATTAAGATGCTTCAGACAAGAAATCTTTCTTCTTCTTTCTTGCCTCCAGCCTTCCTGATTGATGTGGCACACAGTGATGTCAAGCTGTCAAGTTTACTGCTTTCAGATACCATTAGAAAGGAAATGTCAATAAAAGTAACAAGCCTGTTCCATTTTTTTTTCACAGAACCCAAATATCTTCCTTCATATTTAGTGTTCATATTTGCTGTTTGTTTCATTGAACAATTGCACATACATAATTTTAAAATAAGCACAAACAGCTCCAGGAGGCATTTCCAGAATGAAGTGGAAAAAGAGTTTGTACAGCAGGTTCTGACCAGTTCTGGAAAACCAGTAGTGGAAATTTTGAGTAGTTCAGAGAACCGGTCAATTCCATCTCTGACTGACCCCGGCCCCATCTATTCTCCGCCTCCTGAGTCCCAGCTGATCAGGAGGAAATGGGGATTTTGCAGTAACTTTCCCCTGGAGTGGTGAGGGAATGGAGATTTTACACTATCCTTCCCCTGCCACACCCACCAAGCCAAACCACGGCCATAGAACCGGTAGTAAAAAAAATTGAATACCACCACTGATTTGTACATACAGCTAGTCCTCAACTTACAATCACAATTGAGCCCAAAGTACATTTTGCTAAGCAAAACAGTTATTAAGTGTGTTTTTCCCCGTTTTACTTTCCTTCTTGCCACAGTTGTTCAGAGAATCATTGCAGTTAAGTTAGTCACATGGTTGTTAATTGAATCTGGCTTCCCCATTGACTTTCATTGTCAGAAGATCGCAAAAGGTGATCACATGACTTTAGGACACTGCAATCATCATAAATATGAGCCAGTTGCCAAGCTTTGCATGAATTTTGATCACATGACCATGGGGGTGCTACAACAGTTTTAATTTTAATTAACTGGATGGTGGGGAATGGAAGGATTTATACTCCTTCCAGACAGCTGGCCATTCACATTCTTTCAGTGGGTCAGTAAGGCCCCCTGGAGGTTTATCTGTGTCATCAGGGTCACCTGAGTGGTACAAATTGGTGTGGAGCCTTCTTGGAACTGTTGAAAAGACTGTGTTGTAGATTGGAGATAGATGATATTGTATCCCTCCCCCTCTGTTGAGAGAAGGCTGTTCAATTTTGACACTGATGGCCTCTTTGACCCCTCTTTCAAACCAGCGGTCCTCTCTGTCCAAAATGTGGACTCTGCTGTCTTCAAAAGAGTGGCCTTTGTCTTTTAAATGCAGATGGACTGCTGAATCTAATCCTGATATGTTTGCTCTGAAGAAGCTTCTTGGATGAAAAGCGAAACATCTTCAAAGAAAAACCAGAAAGTCCAGTTGCTTCTGGGGAAAAAAAAAGGGGGGGGGGAGAAGCATCTTTGGGATAACCATGACCTGGATGACTGAGAATCTCCATAGATAAGACAGAGCAGGAAACAGGGGCAGAATCATACTTTGAGAAGAGAGGTTCAGATTTCCGGAAGCTTTGGTCTGTTTTCTAGAAAGCTGAAATCATTTATTAGTCGTTGCTTTAACCAGCCAGATTTTCTTATATCAAAATGTCATGGAATGATGGGAGATGGTGGGGAGGAAATCTCTAAATTTAACTGCTTATCTTTTTTCTGTGTGTGTTTTAGGAAGAATTGGCAAAGTCAGAATGTGTGAGAAAACAACTAGCTGAAGAGCTGCAGATTACCAAACAAGTGGGTAGAATATCTGTAATATTAAATTAAGCAATTCAATCTGTTTTTTGCCCCCGCTGAGAGATATTCCTTGTTTCTGAGATATCCATTTTCCATATTTCATAACTTGATTACGTCATTTATAATATATAGATAGCCCTCAACTAACGACAGATCACTTAGGGACCATTCAAAGTTACAACAAATCCCGGAAAAGCTACCTACAGTATGGACTCAAAGTTCTGACGTCTGCCTCTGCACTCGCCCCAATGGTCATGTGACCACATTTGGGTGCTTGGCAACTGTCCTGCATTTACAGCCATTTGAAGCATGTCACAGTCACATCACTGCAATTTACAACATATTTGCAAAATGTCCCATAGTAAACAAGGGGTTCACTTAACAACCATGGCATTTGCTTAACAATTGTTGCATTCATTTAACAACTGTAGTCTTCATTTAACCACCTCCATGTTGTTGCCACAAAAAAGATCGTAAAATCGGATCTGGTCACATGATGAACTGCTTTACGATGGTCACAAGTTACAACCAAAATTATGGGTTCAATTATGGTTGTAAGTCCAGGACTATCTTATAAGTATCATCATCATCATCATTTTAGCCATTATCTATCCACTGCAGGATGAAGGCCTCTTCCTCATGTTTCCAATGAATATGGTCCTGAGCTTTCTTTTGCCAATTAGGCCCATAATACTTGCAGAATATATAGTTATAAGTATATTGCTTAATAAAACCAAAGTCTCACTTTTTACACACAGAAAGAGTTCATAAGTTATTCCTTTCTGACCATTTTTTGTTTTTACCCAAACAATGAAGGTGAGGTAAATAATTATGAGATGGCTTTTCCCAAAAAAGCGCATTCAGCTTGAATTCTGTTATCTTTTCAGGGCTAAATTCTCTTTTTTACTTTCTTGCCAACCCTTCAATTGTTAGTTTTATGTGGCAAAATATTCTAATTATTTTTTATCTCTTCTGTTTTAATTTCTTCTCTGTAATGTTATAGTTATTTAGTTCGTAATTATTTAGTAATTTGTTGACTTTAAATCTTTAAATTCCTTACCTCTCTCTTTTTCAGAACTTTGTCAGTTTCTCTAACCATGACTTCTCCATTCTCACAGCCCATCAGATTATATTAAGTGTATTCAGAATTTTGTTCATGCGAATTTGGCAATATGATTTTAATGAAGTTCCTGCCAAATAATAATTTGCCATTTTTCCTGATGCCTTACTTTGTCTAGTAGTTCTTATTTATTTATTTATTTATTTATTTATTTATTTATTTATTTATTTATTTATTTATTTATTTATTTATTTATTATTTAAATAAATATGCTGTGGTGGCACAGTGGTTAGAATGCAGTATATGCGGGCTGACTCTGCCCACAACCAGGAGTTCGATCCTAACCAACTCAAGGTTGATTCAGCCTTTTATCCTTCCGAGGTGTAAAATGAGGATTCAGACTGTTGGGGGCAATATGCTGACTCTGAAAACCGCTTAGAGAGGGCTGTAAAACACTGTGAAGCAGTATATAAGCCTAAATGTTTTTGCTAAATGTATATGGCCACCTACTCAATACATAATTCTGGGTACTAGCAGTCCATTAAAATAGTTAATAATAAAGATAATTTTAAAACATCACATTGTAGCAGGGTGATACAAAACATATGAAATCACAGCGCCAAGGCAACCTCACCAAATAACTTGGTCCAATGCTCAGGAGAGGAACCAAGTCTTCCATGTCTTGAAATAAAAAGGCCAACACAGCGAGGCCCACCTGAATCTCCAGGAAAGGTTGATCCACAGGGAGCATCACAACACAGAAGATGTAGCACTGTTTAATAGAGAGGACCCAAATCCTCTCAAAAGGGCAAGAAGAAACAAGGAGAATGGGAGCCCCTCTTTCTGCAATTGTTAACAATACATGTATTTGCAATGCTTTTGGAGTCTGTTTTTCCGAGCTGTTTCTAAAGGAGAAAAGATGTATTCAAAGGAACTTTACACAGTCAAAACAAAATGAAAGTATCGACTTAGCTTGAATGGTACATTTTAAAAATAGAATTTGATTCCCTGTAGGAAGCCAAGGCATCTGTGGAGGAGGCGAGAACCTTGCGAAGCAGAATCCATCTCGCAGAAGCGGCTCAAAAGCAGGCTCGTGGAATGGAACTGGACTATGAGGAAGTAATCAGTTTGCTGGAGATAGAAATCACCAGGCTGAAGGGTCAGCTTGCTGATCACGGTGGCCAAAATAAAGTAAGCACCTCAGTAGTCTCTAGTAGAGTTGCCATGGTTTCCTTGCTGTTGTCAAGTATCCTGGTTTTCAGTTTTCTTCCATTTGTTCTCCTAAAATAGGTCACTATTTGTCTTGTGCGATTCAAGAGCTGGAATTAACGTGTTGTGTAGGGAAGAGGGGCATAAAAGCTATGAACTTTTTTTTTTCTTGAGAGAACTGTTTTGAGTGGCAAAATATGAACTTTGGCTTCATTTGGGTTCCTGGCCAGTATGGCCTAGCTCAAGCATACATACAAGACATGGAGCATATTGCATTTGTATTTGATCTATATTTTAACCATACAATGGATAAAACAGCTTTATTTTTATGCGGAAACTAAAATTACAGTCCCATAAACATTTAATTCAGTCTGAGTTCCAGTTAGCTAGGTGTCCTTAGTTTGGATATTTATTTCATTATTTTATATAAAACATTTATAACTTGCCTAATTATGTAGAGGATTTTATGATGGTTAATGGGGAGTAAATATTATAGAGGTTGTATAATTACTATTTTTTTTATAAATGTTTAAAAATTAAAGCTTTATTTCAAGTGCTTTCTTTTTAATGCTGAAATTCAATTGCAGCTGTGGTAACTAGATATTCTATTTGATTGGTGCATTTTCCAGAAATGATATAAGGCTTAAAGCAAAAACAATTAACTTGATGTTGTAATTAGTAGAAATAGGCTACAACCCATAAGTTCAGTTTACTATAAATTTTATTTACTTTAGAACAGACCACAAAGAGTGAAAGATCCTTCACTTTTCCCAAAGAATTATGGACTTTCCAGCATACAAAAGACTAAAATAAAATTCATTTCCAGCTTGAGAGCTAAAAGTAATTTTGACTCTGGAAGGAAGGAATGGGGTGAATTACTTAATGACCACACTGATTTGCTTAATGCCCACTGCAAATTCATTTTATGAATTGGAAATTTAACTGCAGTCTTAAGCACAAATACCTGCTATTGGGTGGGTCTGAGTAACATGGAAACCTGAAATTAATTATACATGGGGAATAGTAGCAAGATTTTAAAATACATAATAAGTGGAGGCAATTTTTATACCGTAAGCTACAATATATTTAAATATAAAGTTGTAATTTTGGAAGAGGGGATATTGTAATGTTTTTATCTCAGGATATCCATGGCTAACATTTATATAGTATGCATGTCAAAACAGGCTCCTAAGTTCATTTTATTACACCCAAGCTTGAACAATGCCTGAAGGGAGAATATAGAGAGGAATTGTTACCCAGTTTAAAACTGGTTCAGCTCTTTTCATTCCTCTTGCAGATTGCTAAAAGAAAAACAATTGGTTTGAGGGCAAAAATCTGCCTTTTCCCAGCAAAGCGTGGTTCACACAGAGCAGAAGTAAATTGTTTTCCTCCGCTCTTCGATAATTATTTTGTTGTCTGAACTGGAGGATCAGATGAAACAGCTAAGCTGACTGTATACCACGTAGTTGACCACAGGCCACTGTCAAACACTATCCACTCTATTAATAGCTGCCGCTCAGTGTGGCTGCCTTACTCTGCTTGTAGAGGAAGCCCTATTTTTTCTTCTTATGCTTGCCACTGATATATGTAGAACCCAGTAAGCTAGTGTAAAGCTAGTTTGTCATCCCTCCTCCCGCGCACAGTGCACCAGGGATAGGGACCTAAGCGCTGAACAGAAAGAAGTAGCATTCTAGGCTGTCAGGACTGCACTGTCTGTCTAGCTTGTGTAGATTTTCTTGACATTGTATGCCATATGCTAAATAGTAAACAACCCATGAAAAGGAATGTATTAACAAATTAACCAGTGGAACAACTTGCCTCCAGAAGTTGTGAATTCTCTGACATTGGAAGTTTTTAAGAAGAAATTGGACAACCTTTTTGTCTGAAAGGGTATAGGGTTTCCCGCCTGAGCAGGGGGTTGGACTAGAAGACCTCCAAGATCCTTTCCAACTCTGTTATTCTATTCTATTCTATTCTATTGTGTTATGTTGTTTTTCCCACATTGAACAGTTTGTTCAGGATTACAAATGAAGGAAATAATTAACCAACTTTAAGGACACTGGACTACATATTTAAAGAAAAAAATGGATCGGTTTCCTCAGTATTTTAATCATCTTCAAATTCACTTGACAAACACCTCCCCCCCCCCCCCCCGGGCGCAATTAGAAAATCTTTTATTTTGCAATATCTCAGAGTGCGGGATCAGATCTTGGTACAAGTAATGCCTTTTTGTTCCTTTGTTGACTGAGAGTTAAAAAGAATCTCCCTGCCCTGATATTTGTATTCTCTTTTTAATATTGTAGCCTTTTTGTTTTTATTTAATTTCTTTCCTAGGAGAATGTGCAAGATTTAAGGAAGAGGGTTACTGTGCTTGATTGTCAGTTAAGAAAATCTGAAACAGCCAAGAAGACCTTTGAAGTGGCAACTGAAAAGTTGCTAGAATTTGTTGAGGTAATGGAAAATTCATATATTGTTTTTCCTTAAAGGGACTAGAGTATGTTGATTGTTTACCTTTTACAAAGATATGTTATTAAAAATTATTTAATTGCACTATTATTAATGGCTTGAAAACTTATTCTTCTTTTCAGTAAAAAAAAAAAAAACCCAAACCTAACAATTCAGAAAGCCGAACTACAACATCTCTGAAAAATTAAGTCCCTTTGTGAACAGACAAGTCTCTGTTTAGGAGTTAGACACTATGAAAGGATTAAGCGCTTTTTATATAATTCAGCTATTACTATAATCTAGGGTTTGTAATTTAAGGACCACAAAATTGTAAAAATAGATTTTTTTCACATTAGACATTTCTAGATTGTCTCAAAAACTCAAACTCAAAGAAGAATACATTGAATGTTTTTCTGATATGAACACGATGTTTAATACCATAATAAGAAATGCTTTGGCTTTGGCTTTTACTTTGTTATTGTTAGTTTTTAACTTGTTTAGTGGTACAATCCGTGATGCCAACTCTAAAGGGATGTGGCTAATGCTGTTGGGTTCCCTTTCTTATCTGCCTTCTGTATTAATGGTTGCTTTTCTAGCAGATCACCAGGGAAGGAAGAAGAATCCCTGACATCCAATGCATTTTTTTTCCTTCCACCCCTTAAGAAATCCCCAAAGACATTCATTAACAATATTCCCTCTCTAGTTCTTCCATTATTATGTCATATAGTTTCACATCGATGTAGAAGCTTGGGACAATCTATTTGGTCAAATAATATGAGGGAAATCTTGTTTCTTCTCTTTTTGATTGCATCTCTTAGATACTGCCTTAGAAATGTATTCATTGGAAATGATTTGGATAATATATGGTGATAATTTTCATTAAATCTCTTCCCTACTTTTATTCCCATAATTTTGAACAGTGGACTAGAGCTATTTCAAGGCATTCTTCTAATAATAGCAATAACACTTAGACTTATATATCACTTCATAGTGTTTCACAGCCTTCTCTAAGCAATTTACAAAGTCATGATATTGCCCCCAGCAATCTGGGCCTCCGAAAGATGGAAGGCTGAATCGAGTCAGGATCGAACTCCTAGCAGTGAGCAGTGAGTTAACCTGCTATACTGCATTCTAACCACTATGCCACCATGGTTCTAGGTGCCATGGGGGTAGGATGGAACAGAAGTTGGCAGAAGCAGTTTGAGAGAGGGGTGATCTTGTCCATATCTCACAAAGCTAAGCCTGTCTCCAACTTTAGCTATTATGCAACACTATTAGGATTGCTGGCAAACTACACCATGACAATTGTAGATTGGATGCTGATTTGCATGCCTATCCTGATACAAGAGCAGAAAATTCATAGGCATCTGAAAGATAAGACTGTTAACTGATGCATTGAAGGCAACTGAAAGAATCAAGAACCATTAAGAAGAGTACTAACTGCCGTTGATTTCAGAAGGGTGTGAATTGTTACCAATCAAGCTAATATACCTTAAGAGGCAGATTTTCAAAATGCAGACTTGGAGGACTAATGATTATACAATCCCTGAAAGAGAAAGTCATGCTATTTTGTCTTTTGGACATTGTTATTTTATTTATTTTTCTTATTTCTACCATTTGCCTGCAGACTGTACCTGAAATGCTATTGCATGGCAGTAGTCCTCCAGTCACTTTAAGGTAAGAAATGTGTGCTGTTGAAATTGTCTTGAATTCATACTTTTAACTCTGCTAAGAGGGCAATTAATCCAAGAACCAATTCTTATACTTTGATACTGTTTGCTTACAAACTCCATACAAAACCTTTTCTGCAGATTTTTTAAAATTAGCTTTATAACATTGATATCCATAAGATTCTGTTTGATGAAACAAGAAGTCTTATTTTGATATGGATAGGTATTTAACTCTACAGAAATAGCTGATTTGCCCAGGCTAAACAATTGAGTTTGTTACAATCTGAACATGGTTCTCAGTTCCACTCACCCATCAATTGAAACTTTTGTATTCCTGTTGAAACTTGTTTACAGGGATTTTAAGAATAGAATCAGATTTTAGGGTTAGAATCTATCAGAATACTAAATATAATCCACCTTCCCTTAAGCTTTCATGGCAGACAGATGTGGATATAACATTATGTCATATTTCCATTTATAAAATTATACATGACTTCTACCTAATTAATAATCTTTCTCACCTATTGATATATATCAACACTGTCATGTTGATTTCTAGCTCTCAATGTTCTATTGCAATCTACTGCTATCATTCGTTTATTATTCAATCTTATTTTGGCCAGCAGTAAATATAATTCTGGTTTAATCATAATACTATGTTAATCCACAGTATCATTTGAATTGTTGTATTAATTTGCACCCAAATTCCTGTACTTTTTCACAAGTCCACCATGAATGGGGAATGGTACAAAGTCCTCTCTTCGTCTTCACACTTCCAATGCTTACTTGATATTCTTTTATACATTTTAGATTGTAAATTGGGTCACATACCATTGGTACATTATTTTATAACAGTTCTCTCTTAAATTATGACACAATGTAAATTTTAACACCAGTTTCTCACATTTTCTGCCATATATCCATATTTATAACATAGCAAAAGTTTGCAGCCTACTTCAGCATGCAGTGTTTAACCTCTTTGTCCTCTGTTTCAAAAAATGGTATTAATTTATTTTGAGAAATCTTTCAGCTCGGAATAGAGTGTTCTGGCAAATCAATCCTTGAATACTCTAGATATAGATGAAAATGAAAATGCATTTAGTGACCAAAACCAACCTCCCCACCCACCCAACACCTGGGCTGCAGCCCATTACTGGGCCTTCAGCTGTTTGGAACTGGACTAGAGAGATAGCAGATAAGTGTGTGTGCTTCCATATTTGCACAAACAGTGGGCAGGCAATATGTGTGTGGGCGCTCCATTTGTGCCAGCAGCAGACGCATGTGTCCCACCGCTCACGCAGACCCATTCCATCTCCCCCCCTCTGCAACCTTTGCAAAGGTGGAAAGTTTGGGGACCTCTGACCTAAACAAAAATATTGCAACAGAAAATGCTTTGTTCTTTTTTCTGATCATTTTATCCAGTGATAGGAAAGCCACGATCTCTTCAAAAATGCTCCTTGCACATCTGGGACGGAATGGCCACACTCTTGCAGCATCTCTTGCCACAGAAGCCAAAGAACTTGCTAGATCTGTCCGGGCTATTCTAGAAGCAGATTGTGAGTTTTATTAAATTATTTTTCTTTTTCTAACCTCTATTTTCTCTTCGTTTTCCTTTCTTTTCTACCCCACCCCCTTTCTTTAATTCTTTTTTAAATGTTCCTAAAAAAAATATTTGGCATTTTTTGTGTTGTGCCATGTGGTTTGTCAGAAGAAAGGAAAATAATCATCCGTGAAATGTTCAAATGTCGACAGATGTAATAATTTAGATCAACTGTATAATATATACTTGGGAATGTGGAACTACATAATTGAGAAAAATGCTTGGTGCATGCATTCTCAGTCTATAATTGTACCTATTCTTGTTTAACTGCAAACATGCAAAGCAAAAACTAAAAAGAGCAAATTGTGATTCAAATAGATGAAGCTTTCAAATTACGTGCTAATTATCCCAAATGTTGTTTCTGCCCGTAAGATAATGTACATAGGAAGTAGTCACGTCTTCATAGTAAGCAGAACTGTAAAATAGGGTTATATTTAAATGTACTGCATGGATGGAATTTATAACAAGACCATTCTAAAAATTTCTGAGATATCATCTTCAAGAAGACACATGACCCCAGTTGGCTAAACATTATTAAAGAAACTGCTTCTGAATTTATATATAGGTAGTCCTTGAAGCCTGTCCACTACCATCATAAGTCGGGATAGTCATAAAGCAGAACCAAACCGATTTTACAACCTTTTTTGCGATCGTAAAGCAAATGTTACATTCGTTAAGCAAACCAATTGTTCACTGTGGGGTGGTTTTGCCAAAAACTGAAAGTAAATGCTGTTTTTGGCAAAAAATGTTGTCACATGACTGTGGGATGCGGCAAACAGCCATAAATGCAAGCCATTGCCAAGCAACCAAAATGCAGTCACATGACTGAATATGGAGCCAAGTCATCGGAACTTCAGAACCGGGTTGTAAGCATCCCTAGGGCAGCCTGTCATAACGTCTAACAGTAATTAAACAAATGGTTGTAAGTTGAGGACTATCCCTAAGTTGGTGTTACTTACTTAGTTACAGAGTGAGTTGGAACCAGTCATCTGTAGCTGAAACAATAATCCTTCCTTTGAAGCATATTTATAGTTATTTTTCATTGTTACATAAATAAGCAAATCTGTTGTGTTAATTGCAATATTGAGTTAACTTTAATGTGTGAAAAACCAAAGCAGAGACTTTTGCCCCTTAAAAGGTGTGTGTCACTGTAGCACTCTATGTATCTTCTTTAAAGATACTATCGATTTGACTCAACAAGATAATTACACCAATTTAATAATGTCAGCTTTCTTTTTTATTCTAAAAAATATCTGAATTGTTATGGCAGCAATCCTATAAAGAAACTACCGTAGTTTAACTGTGATGAGAACTTCTTACATAGATCCGATCCAGTCCTATCTTTTTCCATTGTGACTACAGAGAATTATTGGGATTTTTTTCATCAGCTTCGGATTAATGAGTTTCTCTTGCTTTCTATGAAGCAACAGACTTGGGTTAAATTTAAACGTGATATGTTAGCTTACATGTGTTGAATCAAACTAGGGTTAAGGATTCAAATGACACTATATTTTGACATATTAAAATTGGAAATAACAACTTCCAAGACTTTTACTATATAGGAAGGAATCTTGTAATAACATAGATTTACTGTATATCACTGAGTCCCTAACTATGGGATATTTAGTTTTTTCAGGCAATGTTCTATAAACCAAATGCAATTAATATTTTACTTAATGAGGAATGGCAATATATTCAGCATTAAGGAAGCAGCATGATTTAACAATACACACTTTCCCTTGGCAACTACCTAAATATAAAACATCCTTTCTTTTGTTTTTAGTACTGTAGAAGATACTATATTTCCACAGGCATTTATAAGGAAGGAATTGAAGATCTGTTCTATTAGCTAAGTTATTCTGGAAGAATTTGCTTAATGAGTAGCATCATAAATATTTTTCTATATTTTTATTTTGGAAGTCATTTATATGTTGGACATACTTACATAGTTCGTTTAGGAATTGGTTACAGTCATTGTAACCATTGTACAGTCAAACTGTGATGACCACAGTTTCAGGAAAAGAATAATTCATCTTTTAAATTTGTGTAATCCTAACATACATAGAGATACACACTGTCTTAGTCATCCTTGATATAATAATAACATTAATTATCTATTCCCTTTCAGTCTGGAAAATGTTGTTAATGGTATTCAGATTTTAGAATCAAATGGGAAGAATAATGGTTGACCTTGCTGATGAAAGGAGCATGGATTTTCTAACTCAAACAAGACCATATAATGTATTATTCAAATTATTTATGGAGTACTGATAATGCTGCCAAAAGGTTAAATGCTTCTTCTTTCAAATGTATATTGCAGTGCTTTGAATTAAAACTAGATCAAAGCAAGTTGAAAAAGAGCTTATACTTCTATAAGAAAATGTCATAGAGAACTCACTGAAATAATAGTCAATTTAAGACAGTATCTCATATAAGTTTTTATCATGGCAGAATGATTGCAAAGCGAATGTTATGTAGGGCACTGAATTTCATGGATCTATAATGACAAGAATTTTACTTTGGCCCAAACTTTTTGGAATAATCTGAAAAGTACACACAGTCTAAGTGCAACTTCTGTCCATTTTCCACACTTATCCTGATTGATAGGAATATGAAGATTGTAGGAGAGAGTAGGACCTCAGTGTGAAAACATTTAGAACAATTAGATACAGTATAAAACATTTTCTTTCCTAATTTTCAAAGATGCTACAAAAGTAGACAGCAGGGTTATTAAAAAAAAACCTTACAATATGCATTTTTCATGAGTCCCAGCACCTGTGTTCACAATGACAGGTACATAAGGTACATAATATCTAGAGGCTAGGAACAGAGGGAACTATAACAATCAAGATTTCCAACAACTTTTCATACTTGTTCTACATCTTTATGGCAGTATTCAGGGAATAATAATCCTAAATGATCCAATTCTTTTATTCCTCTTGTTACCACATCCTAATAAGTAAGATGAAAGTGATTATGGAGAAAGCTTAGATTGGTTTGCCTGAGGTCCTGTCAAATGGAAGCAACCTGAGCCATTTGTAAATAGTGAAAGGCTGTAATTTTAATGCTTACCACTTATGTTACAAGAATCTAACCAGACTGCTTGCCTTCCCTGGGAATGACCAGATAAGGCTCATGGATCTTGGGGGAGCTAAACATGATGCCATTTGCAGCTATACAAGGACTCTAAGCAAAGTCCTCACTTGACCCCTTCCTTCCAGCTTAGTTGACAGTTTCCCAAAATGGCCGCAGTTCAAGCTTGGTTTATTTTTCTGAATATTTGGAGGGTGATAATTGAATACATGCCATCAAGTCACTGTTGACTCTGAGTGACCACATAGGTGTATCTTCATCAAGATGATCTGCCTCCAGCCTTGTTCTTCAGATCTTCCAATAGTGCACCACTCACTACTATAATTGAGTACATACACCTTGCTGCTAATAATTGTCTTCGCTTTTCTTTATCTTTCCTGGACTTTTTGAGGAAACTGGGCCTTTGCATAATGTGTCCAAAATATAATAAACTAAGCTAGCAATTTGTGCTTCGAATGAGAACTCTGGATTGATTTGTTCTATTATCCATTTGTTTGTTTTCTTAGCTATCTATGATATTCTCAGAAATGCTAACAATCTTAATATAGACACTACATCATTTTCAGTGCAAAATATGCTTCTATGGAAAGATATCATTGACATATACATAACACGAACATCTGAGAACTTCAGAGGAGTCAAGTGAGCTTCAATAAAATTACTGAAAAAGTCCACCTGTGGACTACGGTATTTTTCAGACTATAAGACGCACCAGAGTATAAGACACACCACGATTTTGAAGAGGTAAATTAAAAAAAAAGTTTTTGCACTCTGCAGGCCTCCCAAACTCTCTGCATGCCTCATTTTTTTTGTGAAAAGCAAGACATGCAGAGAGTTTGAGAGGCCTGCAAAGTTCCCCTGGGGGCTGGGGAGAGCAAAAACGAGCAAAAAAAGCTCCATTTTTTGCAAAAAAGGGGGCATGTATATGCTTTGTGAGGGTTGTAGAGTGCTCCTGGGGGCTGGGGGAGCAAAAAATGGCAAACATTGCCTGTTTTTGCTCATTTTTGCCCTCCCCAGGCCCCAGGAGCACTGTACAGGCCTCCCAAAGCTTATGCACATCCATTTTTGCAAAGGGGACAGGGTTTCGGGACGTCAAACATGCTGTATTCAGTGTATAAGACACATCCGGATTTTCACCCTCTTTTTTGGTGGGGGGAGATGCATCTTGTACTCTGAAAAATACAGTAGCTGACCCTTGGATTTTTAAGAAAAATATGAAAATTGCACCATCCATAAATAAGTCAACTTTTATTTTCCACAGTATTTTGGTTAAAAATTCAAGGAGCTGCTTATCTACAGATGGGCTTACACATCAGTATCACAGGAAATATAGGTGCTTTAAAATGTGCAACTGCAAATAAGCCTATTAGTGGCTAAGTTAAACGCGATTTTAAAAAATACATTGTGACATCTAATAGTCTTCGCTTATCTGTGAGTATATATAGCAGGGAGGCATTTTTTTGTGTGAGAGACTTTATTGGGCAGGATGTTGGGAGGACTCTATAAATTTATATTCACAAAGTTTGGTAATTATGAAAAGCCAGAATACTTTAGAAATATGGCTGCATATAATATTCTGCAAAAGCCAACAATCATTGCAACCCAAAAAATGTAAGCCATTGGTTATTAACATGGTTTTGTTACTTAGTTCTTATTTAATGTTCAAAGGGATTTTAAGGGGAAAAGGTGTAACACGATGTTGGTGACTATATGTGTCAGGGTTCCAAGTAACACCCCTAACAATAAAAGGCTTGAGTTTCCTCCAAGTCTCAATTGGCAGAGGCAGCAATCAATGCCTAGAACAGCTGATCAGAAGTATTCTGGGAGGCCAATCCTACTGCTAATCAGCTGTTCGGCAGTAAA